TTTGCTGTAACCTTGCAAACACTTACTACCCAGTATGGTGGTAATCATGAATAATCCCATTGACTTCAAAGATTTGCTCACAGTAGAAAGCACTTTATCCAGCAGTAAATGTCTGTAGGGTTGGACTCTTGGCTCTTTTCTGAAATTGTTAATGTTTGCATTTATTTATTTGCTTTATAATAACCACAGAGGCTCCTGTCTCTGTGCATCTGACTTAATTTAATTTCACAATAAAATTTCATATAACATGGATTTACCAAGGTGAAAAGGAAATAAACAGCAGAAGAAATAACCCCTACAACAAACAACAAAATTTCTCCAATTCTTCCCATTTTCAAATGCCTGGGAGAAAAGTTGGGCCTTGCAGTGCTCCCTGAGGGTTAACAGATTGGACTCTGGTGGGCAGGTGGGAAGAGACAGTGAATTCCAAATCTGAAGAAAAGCCCTTCACAGAAAGACCCATGCCAGCAGCATCTTCCCATTTATAAAAAAGAAGCTGCAGCACGAGGACCTCCTCTAATCTCAATTGGAGCAGTATAGTATGGAAAGAGAGGTGGTCTCTCAGCTAACCAGGCTCCAAAACATTCATGGTTTTACAGGTTAAAACAACACTTTGAATTCCCCCTGGAAATGTATTAGCATCCAGTACTGCCAATGCCAATGTCAATGCTAGAGAGACAGGGTGGATGAGGTAATATCTTTTATTGGACCAACTTCTGTTGGTAAGAGAGACAAACTTTTGAGCCACACAGAGTTCTTTTTCAGCTCTGGGAAACATACTCCTAAAATGCAAGGTGGAACAGATGGTTTAGCATAAGTAGTTGGCACATATTGTAAGGTACCATTCAAGCTAGAGTGGCCCATGGCTTGAAAGCTTGTCTCTCTCACCAACAGAAGTTTGTCCAACAAAAGATATTACCTCACCCACACTGTCTCTCTATTAACCTGGGACCAACATGGCTACAACTACACTACAATGTCAATGCTAAATGCTTAAGTATTCTTTTTACTTGCTGTCATAATAATTACAGCTATATGATGTACTATAAATCAGGTAGTTGCATGACTATTGTATTTACACATTAGCGGTTATTTTTGTACACCCTGTTTTACACTTGTTGAGTAGATCTGTTCCTCTTTATTAAAAAATCTAATGTTAATTCTTTGAAAAAAAGAAAGAAAAGGAGGCAGCTCCTGTATTACGTTCTGCTTGTATTTTTTTTTCTTTTACCATCAGGCAGTTGGATATAATTGGAGATATATAGTTATTTCTTGTTATATCAGTCAAGAAAACTACTCTGTTGAGGGTCTGGGCTACCAGGATAACATGATGCCATTGCAGGAAATATGCTATAGCTGGGGAGTTTAATTTTATCCAGATGAGGGGATATAATGGCAACTTGCCAGAGCCCAAGGACTGTACCTACCGTGTATAAAATAAAGTGGATTGCAGCTAACTTCTTCTTGCATACAAAGATTCAATGTGCAGAGATTATAGATCACAGCATAATGCTCACAGTAGAAAAATGGTGGCTGGAACTTGTATTTGCTGTGAGTGGCACCTCTGTGTTAAATAGTGCCTTGGCTATCTTGGCAATCTTCAGGAAATCTCCCACTAGTAGTAGCAACAGCATAGACCAGCTGCAGTTGTTACTACCGTGGGATCTAGACCAGGTTTAGGTCACAAGGTGGAAAAAATGCCTGCAGTTGGTCCACTGGAGCTGCACTGGTGCTATTGCTACAGTGGAAAACTTCCTGAAAATTGCCTAAGAGGGTGACTCTGAACCACACTGTAGAATTCCATAGACCACATTTGGCCACTCATATGCTATAGACCCTGTCTATACCCTGCATTCCTCAGAGCAAGTGTCTTCTTTTTCCCTTAGTGAAGTACCAAAAGAAAAACACAAACCAAAAATTGCATTATAGATTATAAACTTGTTGATGTTAAAGAAAGAGACAAACAAACAGTAAGGCAGCAGTGTTGTCATTTAAATCAACAAAACTGACAGCTAGGTTATTTACCTTTCTACAGCAGTCCTCTTTTCAATTTATAAGTGTGTGTCAACACAACAGGGCAACAGTTCTTTCTGGAGACAAATGGCCTAAAACTGCATGAGAAGAAATTTCAGAAGTACACCTCTACCCCGATATAACGTGACCCGATATAACATGAATTCGGATATAACGCGGTAAAGTGGTGCTCCGGGGGGGCGGGGCTGCGCACTCCGGCAGATCAAAGCAAGATCGATATAACGCGGTTTCACCTACAACGCGGTAAGATTTTTTGGCTCCCGAGGACAGCATTATATCGGAGTAGAGGTGTAATAAATCTCTCTAAGGGTCCAGAAGGAATATTGGATCCCAAGATTCTGTGGCTATTGAGACAGATAGTTGACAGGAGAAAGAAGAGAGGAGTTTGAGCTGCTCCTTTTATACTCTCCTTTGACTTGTCTAACCCAGGGAAATGTTCTAAAAAATTCCCACGATTGTTAACAGTATTGCTTTTAGTTCTGTGCTGATTAAACCTTCTCAGACCAATGGTATTAAAAATGCTGGCAGTTGCACTGGTGCCAGCAACACTAGGAAGTGTTTAGAAAATCTGGATGAAATGGGACTCGGGTAGCCTTAGGGAAGCAGGTGAGATTGAGAACCTCTCCTACTACCTAGGTAAAATAAGCCTTCATGAGGCAGCACTGGGTAAAGCAAGGAGCTGCTATTTCTGGAGAGGAAAACCAGGCCCTGAAGATAGGATATAATTTCCTTGGGGAGCTGGAGAAGATTATGTTATGATTCTTGAACTCTTTGAGCTGGTGTAGGGCTAGAGGAAACTTGGGGAGCAAATTATGTGGGCAGGAATCCTGTAGGAAAAAATAGTGTGTGATCTTGCAATTAGAGATTATATGAGAATTCATATGAAAAAGGGTGCTGAATTAAGGTTTCACAGGCAACCTTAATTCTGGCATTTCCTACCTTGACTTGAAATCCTTAATAATGTTCTTTTAACATAGTTAAATTTCTTATTTCTCTGCTGGGAAATAGGAAGGATCAGTGCTAGAAAAGACCCCCTCCCGCTCTCTCTCTCTCTCTCACACCCCTCCCCCCCCACTCACACAGCCAGTCCAAGCACTAGCTCCACCATGTAACCTACATGGTGGTTTTGCCATAGCCTTTTTTTTGGATGTGTGTGTGTGACAAAGTCAGACTTGACAGCTATAAGAGAGTGATGGAGGCAGGTATATTAGTCCTAGAATTGTGAAGACCCTTTTTCCTGTGAACTGAAAAGAGGGGGCCTCAGGTTAATTGGAGACACCTGAGTACAACTGGTGATCTTTAAAAGCCCCTCTTCTGGTGAGGTGGGAGGGAGGAGAGATGAGAAACAAGTGGCAGAAAGGGCTTCTTCTAGGTAGATGGATGTTCCCCTCCTTATTGAACTTCCTTCTCTTTGGGGAAGGGCTGGGGAAGGGCTGGTGATCAGAAGCCAGGATAACTCAATGCTCTGGTAGGGGCAAGGAAATGTATAACTTTTGCGTAGTGGGTTTGTTTGCTCAAGAGAACTATGTGGGCCTATTCTGAGGCTCACCTTGTAAATAAACCAAAGTTAAGAATTAAAACACTCCCCCCCCCCCCCCCGGGGGGGGGGGGGGGGGGGAGAAATGCTGAGTCTGGTGTCAGGCTATGGAGGTGAGAAGGGTAATAGGCTGGGAAGAGGTGGCCTAGTACCCATGTAGGTAGAGGTGGGAAATCTTGTTGTAGGTGGGGAAACAAGCTGGAGGGCACCTTGTACAGGATACTTCATGTAAGGAGCTGCCGATCTATGTGGCTGCAACCTCTTCCGTCTCCTGATGCAATGCCTTTTCTGCACGCTCCTCTTTCAAGTAACCCTCTTAAATCCATTATTCTATAAAGATAGGTCCTCACCTCAAAGAAGCAGTAACAAACTAGACAGAAGGAAAACAAACAAGCTAAACAAAATCATTACTCTAGTGCATCTGTTCTCTCATCTGTTTATTTAGACTGAAAGCTTTCCAAGGGAGGGACCTTTGGGCTTTTATCTATAGCATATTTTTCTGCATCTGAACACAGTGGTCAGCAATTATGTTAGTTGAACTAGGGCTGAAGATGGTTTTGCTGTGGGTATACAAAAACAAAATGTGTTCCAACATTATTTTTGCTAAAGGTTTAATCCCAGTGAGCTAAAAGAGTATTGAACACAGATTGTCCTTGTCTACACCTACCACTAAACCAGTGCTTAATTTGTAAGGAAAGAGGTGCCAGAGCTCAAACAATTTTTTTAAACTTTCATAATTGATGCAGAAAGTCCAGAGGTACCTGGGCTATGAACTACCAACCCTAGAGTTTCCAGGGCTGCCCTGGCACAAATTAAGCACTGTGCTAAACTCTAAAGCTTAAGCATTGAACTGTGTTCAACCCTAGTTCAACTAACATGCCTGCAGACATTAGTACATTTCATAGCATAAACGAGGCCATGGGGGTGGGTGACTGTAAGTCCCTTTCCTGAATATGACTGCAGAAGCCACTGCTTTGCTAAGGCTGCCACAGCACTTTGCCAGCCTGGATCCCGCAGTATCTTTCTTCTTTCTCCTTTGGGCTAGACCGGGCCCCTCGCTCCAGTGAGAACCTTCCCCAAGGCATTAAACTCAATCCAGTTTCAGACAGGAGAGTAGGAAGGAAGGGGAGAAAAGGCGGAGCCAATTCTCATGACAGACATAGGACTCGGCCAATAGATTTGTAGAGGGTGGCCTGCAGAGGTGATGGTGGTCTCTGAGAGGAGGGGGCCTGCGTGAGGGGGCGGGGCTAATGGGGCGTGGCAAGCGTGGTCGGGGTGAAGGAGGGATGCTTGGCCGAGTGGAGGCGGGGCCTGAGGAGGAGTGGGCGTGGCTAGGAAAGTGGAGGGGTGGGGTTGGGTGGAGCGAGAGGCCATGACTGAGGAGGAGGGAGAGGCGTGACGAGGGGTGGGCGGGGCCGGGCGGGGATTGGCCGGGGCGGGGTTTCGCTGGGGTTATGCTGACGGCTCCGGTCAGGGAATTTCAACTTCGGATGTGGCTGAGCTGAAGGCGGCAGGTAAGAGCGCCTCGCGCGGGCGTTACGGGCGGGTCCGTTCACCTTCCCCGCCCTCCCCCCCCCCCCCCCCCGAGAGCTCCCGCTCGGGGCGGCGGGTGTGAGCTGGGAGCAGGAGTGACAGGGGCAGATGCCCCGGGGCCGCCCGGTGGCGCGGGGCTGTGACGGGCTCTGTCCCGGTGCCCCGCCGTTGGGTTGGCTGCCTGGCCCCTGGGCGGCCGGGGTCCCCGCGGCTCGCTGGTGTCGCTGCGCCCCGCGCGGGCTGGAGGGTCCGGGAGGACGCTGCCCCCTTCCCCCCTGCAGCGGGAACTCTCTGCCACTGGCAGGCCTGAGCTGGGGTCCGCGCGGCAGCGAGGGGCGGCTCCTCCAAGGAGGCGAGTCCGAACCGCCAGGGCTCGGGGAGAGACGCTCTGGGCAGCGCGGCGCTGTGCGATGCGATGCGCCCGGCCCGCTCGCACGGAACCCCCCGGCACTGGTAGGGGGTTGGCCGCTCACTAAGTGGGGCGGCTGGCGGCGGCGTTAGTTCCCTTCCTCCCTCCGCCCAATGGGGGCTGCTGCAGGGGCTCAGAGAGACACGCACCATCATCCTGTCATTTAAATCTCCCTCGTTTAGACTCCCGCGGGTTGGGAGTCCCGCACACGGCAGAGGCGCTTTACTCTGCCACCCCTTAATCAAAAGCAGAAGAGCTGTAAGCCTGGAAACTGACCCCCGAAGAGTCCTTCATCTGCATGGGGTGGTGACGACTTCCGTGTTAAAGCTTAGGGGCCTTTCTCGACCTGTGAGCGTGTAGGGTATCGCCTGTGTTTGCAAGCCTTGATTTTTATAGTTGTAACAGCAAAACTGATTCAGAGAGACACTAGTTGCTTATTAGAAATCTCTGGCTGAGATTTGCTCTCCTGTTCTAATTTCAGTACTTGTTACATCCAGCTGCTCTGGTGGGTCTCAGAGTTCCTGGTCTGATTTTTGGGGCGCGGGGGGGGGGGTGGTAAACCAGATAATCCCGAACTAATGCAAACTGCCCTGAATCACTACTAAATTTTGGTAGCCTGTATCCTTGGCATGAATAATGTGGGGCAGCAAAGTGGGAAGCAGGGAGATACTTTTTGGACCACCACTCTTTCCATTTCAACTACTTCTTTCCACCCACTGCTTTTGACTCTTTTCCTTCTTTCAGGTTAGCAGCTAGAGACCTGTGACCCTGCACTGAAGCTGTGTACTTCTGGAGCCTGCTGAGAATGCAACTGACTAGGATTGTGCAGTCCTAATCAGTTTCATGCTCTATAGGTAAAGCAATTCAGTGCAGAGCTCAGTTCCGCTCCCTTTGGCTACAGGTCCTGAATATTTGACAAACAAAAGTTGGGTAAATAAAAAGTAGTCCACTTATCAAGGGGTGCTAGCCATGTCTTGTCAGGTGGGAGCCAACTGGGGTTGATTTAGTGGCTCCCAGGTCCTTACCTGCTGCGTCTGGGACTAGCCCTCTTACTTCTGAGAAGCATGAACTTCCTTTGGTGAAGCAGGAGGTAACCCCAGGAATGGACATCACTCTCCACAATAAAGCAGTACTTCTGTCTAAGCAGGGAAAACCTTCAGTCTGTATCAGGGTAATACCAGGAGGAGACCCCTATGGGAAGTTATACTTACACATTCCCCAGCAATAATGCAGTGTCTCCTGTCCAATGCATAAATATACAGTTCAGTGCTCTCTGACCTGATTAAAAGTTCCATGATTCCTTGTCTGACTTCTCTGTCATCAAGTCTTTGCTGCAGTCATTGATGTGAGTGTGTGCTGTGAACTCATTTACTTCTGGATTCTGATTCCAGTTGTCTGGATGCTCTGTTCCTGATGTTGCTGGGTTGGTCTGGACCTTCTACCCAAGTCCAGCTGTTCTTGGGATCAAGCTCCTTCATTCAAGCTCCCAACTCAGTTGAGCTGCTCTCTTTTTGCACCAAAACCTCTTCAAATGTTCTCACAGTGGTAGCATATTTTTCTAGCCTGTGTCCTTCGGGTCAGCTGATTGGCTCAAGGTCATTCCTCTCTCGGGCTTGGAGTTACTAACTGCCCTGCCCCCCCCCCCAATTCAATATATAAAAAATAGAAGAAAGGGAAAATTGATAGTAATATGAATTGGAAGCTAGGAATTGTAGGAAATTGATAAGGGAAACAAAGGTGAAAGCTATGGCCAGCACAGTTAAGGTTAATAAGGAGTTTTTAAAGTATATTAGGAACAAAAAGAATCTTAACAATGGTATTTGTCCATTACTAGATAGAAGTGATAAAATTATGAACAATAATGAAGAAAAGGTAAAAGTGTTCAATAAGTATTTCTGTTCTATATTTGGCAAAAAGTCAGATGTTGTAGTCCTATCCTATGATAATGAAACACTTTACGTTCCAATAGTAACTGAGGAAGATGTTAAATCCTAGCTACTAAAGTTAAATCAGCAGGTCCAGATAACTTGCTTCCAAGAGTTTTAAAAAAGCTGGCCGAGGAGCTCGCTGGACTCTTAATGTTGGTTGTTTGTGTGTGGGGTTTTTTTTTTTTTTTTTTTATTTTTTTTTGTTTTTGTTTGTGTTTTTTTTTTTTTTTTTTTTTCCTCAATATGTTTTGGCACACTGTGGAAGTTCTAGAATACTGGATGAAAGCTAATGTTCTGCTAATATTTAAAAAAGTTAAACAGGATGACCTGCCTAATTATAGGTCTGTCAGTTTGACATTGACCCCAGGCAAGATAATGAAGCAGCTGATATGGGACTTCATTAATCGAAGAATTAAAGAAGGTTTATGTAATTAATGCAAAGGACTATGGGTTTATGGATAATAGTCTGTCAAACCTAACATAATTTTTTTTTTTTTTTTTGGATGAGATTACAAGTTTGGTTGATAAAGGCAATAGTGTTGATATAATATGCTTAGACTTCTGGATGGTGTTTGACTTGGTACTGTATGAGATTTTGATTTAAAAAAAATTGAATGATATACAACTAACATTGCATACATTAAATGGTTTAAAAACTGGGTAACTGATAGGTCTCAAAATGACATTGTAAAAGAGAAATTGTCATTGAGTAGGTATGTTTCTAGTGGGGTCCTGCTGGGATAGGCTCTTGGCCCTATGCTATTTAACATTTTTGTCAATGATCTGAAAAACATATAATCATAACTGAAAAAGTTTGCAGATGACCAGAAGATGGGGAGAATGGTAAATAATGTAGGGGACAGGTCACAGACATGGTGCGATCTGGATTGCTTGGTAAGTTGGGTGCAAGCGAATAACATGTGTTTTAATATGGCTACGTGTATATGTACACGTGGGAACGAAGAATGTAGGCCATACTTATATGAGGACTCTATCCTAGAGAGGTTATTTTGTCTTCGTGTTTGACACTGATGCAATCAGGACAATACTGCATCCAGTTCTGATGTCCACTATTCAAGAAACTTGTAGATAAATTGGAGAAGAGCTATGAGAATGGTTAAAGGATTAGAGAACATGCATATAGTGATAGACTCAAAATGTTAAGGGGTGACATGATCAGTATAAAGTCCCCATATAGGTGACAAATATTTGATAATGGGCTCTTCAGTCTAAGGGCATGTCTTCACTAGCAACGGTGGCTGTGTAAAGTGCCAGTGTAGACAAGCACTAACAGACAAAAGTATATAACAAACCCAATGCATGGAAGCTAAAGCTAGACAAATCCACACTGGAAATACGACATGCATTTTTCACAGTAAGGATAATTAATCATTGGAACAATTTACCAAGAGTTATGGTGGATTCTCCATCATTGGCAATCTTGAAACAAAGATTTATCTTTTTGTTAGGGTACGTCTATACTTACCTCCAGGTCTGGCGGTAAGCAATCTATCTTCTGGGATCAATTTATCGCGTCTTGTCTAGATGTGATAAATCGATCCCGGAAGTGCTCGCCGTCGACGCCGGTACTCCTGCTCCACGAGAGGAGTACGCGGAGTCGACGGGGGAGCCTGCCTGCTGCGTCTGGACCCGCGGTAAGTTCGAACTAAGGTACTTTGACTTCAGCTACGTTATTCACGTAGCTGAAGTTGCGTATCTTAGTTGGAAGTGGGGGGTTAGTGTGGACCAGGCCTTAGATATGCTGTAGTTCAACGGGAATTATTTTGGGGCAATTCTATGGCCAGTGCTACATAGGAGGTCAGATTAGATGATCAGTGATCTCTCCTGGCTCTAGACTATGAACTGAAGTTACTGGTAACCAACCCCTTAAGGGTTCTTTGATTGGGAGTGACACTCTTTCCACTGAAAGTCTCTATCTGTTATCTATCTATCTCCTGTGTCCATCCTGCCCTCTCAATTGTGGGGGGGGGGGGAGGGGTGGAACCAGAAGGAACTCCACAGGATAGTACCCTCCACCGCTAGCCAATCACAACTTTTTGGGGCATGCCTTTGCCACCTCACACTGCATTACACTTTGAGATCTCAATATGTAGTGATGCCTAATTTATAAACTTGGGTGTGACCCCATCTGTCTCTTACATACTTAGTTTGAGGACTTCTGGCCGAGGGTATTGCAAAGCATATGCTACCTTAGCTCAACCATTGTTTTAGACCATAAGTACTGTAATGCTTTTAACAATAAGTACTGTAGTACCAAAAGGTCAGACGGGAAGTTCAGAACATAGCCCTGAGCCTACAGTTTTTCCATTGATGGCACTCCCACTGAGTTGAAGTTCTTTCCTACTTGTGTGCACACACCACTACTATATTGACTTAAGTGTAATAAGATTGGACTTAAAAGAGGATATGTTATTAAATCATAATCTTTAAGGACCTTTGAGTGACATAAGGAGTGATTTTTTTTTTGGCTCTAATATGTAGTTGATGGACCGTCATCAGCAAAGACTAACTTCTGAAACGAACTGAACAAACAGTAGCAAGTTTGGTACATTTGGTTGGCCAAGGTGATCAAATTTAATGGTGATGGGTGACAGAGAAGCTTACATCAGGAGTATTGTTCATT